CAGATATATCTTTATGGATATGTATGATTCATCTAGTTTAGGATATGCTATTAATATTGCTCCTCGTTTGGATATTTTTTTCCTATGCTCAATGGCGTGTTAGATTCAAACTTTTCATTCAATCTAAACAATTCGATTTATGGGAAATTATTGAGGATACCAATGTTGTTCCCATTTTGGAAAAATCCAAATGGTGTGAAAATGATAAAAGATTGTTTAATATGAACAAGCTTTTGTTAGAATATTTGATTAATGCTTTTCACTCTTCATTTTTTAACAAATTTGCTAATTTTGATAGTGCTTACGCCTTATGGAAATTTATTGAAGCACTTGAAGGGGACTTGGAGGCTATTCAACAAGCGTTGGAAAATCCCGCTTTGAGTTCTAAAGAAGCCTCATCTCCATGTACAATACCACTAGGTGATAACCCTAGTGAGGTATGCAATCTTGACAACGATGATATCATTACTTTTGATGAGCTTGCTCTTGAGTTTGAAAAATTACACAATTGCTATATTGATGTAAAGAGTAAGTATGTTAATATGAAATCCACTCATGAAACACTAGCCACTAAGTTTAATTTTATTGTAAATGAAAATATAATTCTTAAAGAACGCAATGAAAATTTGAGAATTGAAAATGCTAGTTTACTTCATGAAAAACGTGATGCTATGTTAGAAGTAGATAAGTTGAAATCTATGATGAAAAATCTTGTTTATCCTACCTCTAGTAGCAATGCTTGTATGCACAATGATGAGTTAAATCAAATGAGAAAATGTATATCTACCTTAGATTCAACACTAAACACTTGTATTGCTAATAATAAAAAGCTTATGGACTTATGTGCAAAGTCAATGTTAATTCCTCTAAGAAACCTATTCACTATGCATATATGTATGAAAAAAATTCACAAATGTTCTATTTGCGGTCTTAAAGGCCATTTAGCTCAATTTTGTCATAATGCACCAAAAACTGACAAGCCTACACATGATTGTGCATCCCAACAAGCTTCATCATCACATACTCATGTACACACACATAGTGTAAATCATAAACATGCTTATGTGTACAAATGTGATTATTGTGGTCGTGTTGGTCATTTGGCCATGTTTTGTTTCGATTTGAAAAGAAATTCTCGTTTGCAAAATAATTACAAAGGAAAATCTATTTTTGCAAATGAACCACGTGCATTCTATTTCGGTCAACGTAAACCATTTAAACCTCTACATTGCACAAATTGCAATCGTATGGGTCACGTTTACAACTTTTGCTTTGATCGTATTAGTGCACAAAACAAGCCCAAACGGGTTCATAACCCTAGGGCCTTGGACTTAAATGCTAGGGGTCATGTCCCATGTTCTAGTGGTACCAAAATGATTTGGGTACCAAAATGATTTTTACATTATTTTTTGTTTTTGTTTTGTTTTTGTTTTTATTTTGAATAATTGGTTTTTGAGCTTTGAATGACAAATTGTATTCTTTATGTTAAAATAAATTATTTGTATGATTTTATAATTAAAAACACTTATATATATCTTATAAAACTTTTAGTATTTTATAAAACAAATTTCCAAAAGGTCTAAATTGAAAAATCTCTCAAAACAAATTTTTCTACTTTAACCTGCTATCTGTTTTCTCGCGGTCGACCGACCCGGTCGACTGACGATCTCTCTGTAATCGTTCCGGTCGACCGCGTCGGGC